TCAGGTATTATGTATTTTATTATGCAGTGTGCACTCCACGTGGGATCACTCTGGCCTTTCCTAGTTTTAGCCACTCTTAAATAAGAACCTTCATTAAAAGGACATATCTACACAGGGAGACTTTACACATGACTAGAAACTAAGTCAAAGTAATCAAGCCACAGATACCTCTAAGTATCTTCTACTAACCAAACATGAATATGAAACAATAGAGACTGAAAAAATATAAGCCATTCTCTTTTAGTGATTTAGGAATTAAGCAAGATTCAAGGATGTTTGTCAAGTTTCATAGATTTGCACTTAAAACTACAGGGATTTGGTGAAAAAGTAAAACAAGTGATTTATGAGCTAGATACAATAAGACTAGTGTATAAATTCACTGGCTTTGCTAGTTTGGTTGCGATTTCCTCAAAAGTAATGCTTGTTTAACTAGTGCAGCTAAGGGAAAAAAAATCTAACATATTTTCATCTTTCCTCATCTGTGCCCCAAAGAAATCATAAAAGAAATGAAAGTACTTTAATTTCCCAATGCACGGCAGGTAATGTTTTTAAGTGTTTTATTCATATTTTTTACTATTTCATATAACTACTCACAATTATTATAGCTTTGCTTTTAAGAAGTTGTTTTTTTAAATGATAACCAAGAATACAATCCAGAGTTATAACCCTGTCACTGTCAAGTGAAGCTTCCCTTAGAAATCTTTAGGGCAACAAGGAAAACAGAGTTAAAGCTTGTATATGTAACAATCCTGGGGGAAAATGGCAATATAAAAGGCTTCTATAGGACTTGAAGATATTAAAACTTTGTAACTGAATGAGAAAATAAAGTAGAAAAAACCCCCAGTGTGAGGAAATGAGAGAAATGATTGCAGGGGCGCTTATGTGAACACCAGTGGGAGGCAGTGTTAACCAGCAGGATGAGACAGATCTGCATCTGACTATGGCAGGGTCAGCTGCCACACCTCCACCAGTGCAGGTGTGTGGGAAGCCCTGCTTTGATGGGTCCCCATACTCAGAAGGGTCCTGCACTTCAGTTTAATGCTCTGCTGTTGCCATCTGGAAATTCTTGTTTCTCTAATTTTTGGATAAGGGTTCCTGTATTTTCATTTTATACTAGACCCCACAAATTATGTCGCTGGTCCTGGCTCTGACACTTACCAATGATATGTGTACACAGGCCATATTACTTAGTGTCACTGTGACTATCTTCTGATATGTGAAGCTGAGATCTGAAAACTACCCTCCTACTAGGGTAAATTTGAGGATTTAATGAATTAGCTATGATTTGTGGGTTTCTCTGCAGCAGTTAGCATAGAAGGCAGTCCACAGATCTCTGCATCTCCTCTAGAATATCTCAGGACCAAATAAAAATAAAAAGTTTTTGAAGACTTCCAAAGAACTTTTGCTTATTTGGGCTATATCTGTCAAATATTTACTGTATCAGAAATTAGAACTGAGAAAATGTTGACACAAAACCATGCAAGCCCACATTCCATTAGCCATCAGAGTGAGGATCACCGCAGAGCATGAAGCTCTGGAAAACTGTGCTGTAAACTCATGACAGAACGAGAGTCAACGAGGCAAATAGCATGTTTGCGTTATTATGAAAACAGTTTTGACCTTTGGACCTCCTGGAAGGGGCTTGAAGATCACTGCCCCAACCAAGTGCCCTCAGGTCACACTTTGAGAACTGTTAAATGAAATTAGCCCACTGCAATAACCCCCAATAGCCTACTGTGCTATCCAATATAGCTCCAGAGTGGATTAATTGTATTGGCACAGGAAGCTAGTCTTTGTTCTGTGATTGAAAGTCTAATGTCTGTCTTTCAAACTTCTGTAAAAACATAGGCTCTGTTTTTAAAAGGACAGTAATGATACAGCTCAGCCTCTGAACAGAATTGTCTTAAACAGGTGAATATACGATGCAGTGAATAGAGCAGTTTGCTTTTAGTTTTCTTTTTAAAATATTTCTTAGTTTTTTTTTTGTTGTTTTTTTTAGCTGAGCCATCCTGCCACCTGTTGGTAGAGCAGTTTGCTTTTAAGCCACGCCTGTTCTCAAATAGAATCAGTTCTCAAATAGAATCAATTTCTCTTTAGGTTATCTATCTAGAAACCATCCATATGGTGCACAGCCGAGGACCCTGAAAGTAGGTGTTAAAAGATCTCTATGAAGACCAAATAGATATAACGAAGGTGATGCACTAACAGTATGTTTGACTTACAGCAGAAGCAATCAGGTCTTCTTTCCAAGTCTGCTCACTTCTACTTTTGAGCTTAAAAAACTTTGTAAATTGGCTTTATAGTTCACAGTGGAATTCAAGCAGGCAAATTGACAAAACAAAAAGGTGCAAAGCGCTCTGGGAAGAGTTTGTATATGGGTGGGTACACAGCCTACACTTTTGTAAGTCATCACAATTTAAAGCACAGTACCCCTTCATGCCAATATCTGTTCAGCACCCACTATGTGCCAGGCACTGGGGGGTTCACCCTATGGGGACTGGAACGAGTGAGTTACCACTGCTGGTCTCAGCGATGTGGGGATGACGGTCCTGTGGACTAGTATTATAGTTACAATATATGACACACAGGAAGGGCCCTGGGAAGGATGTGATGTTTGTTAATGATTTTGATGATCAACTCTGAAGTGAGTTAGAAACAGGTGAGAGACTGACTTTGAACTGTGTGTTGAATGCAAGGGCACTCAGAGGAACCAGTATTTGCAGGGGAAAGGGGGCCTGTAGGAAGCACTTCAGGGGAGGACTGGGATGGTAGCTGGAAAAGTAAACATAGGCGAGACTGGAAAAGAATTTGCAAAGTGAAGGGAAAGAATGGGGAGCATCAAGAAGACCTGGTGGGCGGGGTCAGGCTGGAAGAGGATGAGTTTGGTTGCAGACAAGCTACATAGGAGGTGTCCGCATGTCACCATGAAGGGATATTCCGAGCTGCAAATATCAGGTAAGAGGAAACTGAAAGGGAGCTGGTCTTCATTCTGAGTAAAAATTTTAAAGTTGTTCTTGAGTAATGTGGAAAAATAATTTCTATGGAAATCACTTATCTCCTAAAGATGGTGGATGGATAAATGAACACATTTCTTTAGGTGGTTTTAATCCAGCTTACCTATCTGATATTTGTAGATCCACTAGTTTAGGATTTTTTCTTTTCTTAACTAGGGCTAAGAACAGCTACCTTTGATTAATTCCACAGGTGATCTACTCAGCATGTGGCATAAAATAAAAGTTACCGAATAGGGAAAACATACCCAAATGCCGAATAGAGATAAATGAATGAAACAATTCTATTGAAATTGTTTAACTAGGCAAGTAGTGTTTTTCCTTTCCCTCTTCCCATCCCATAAAATGTAAGATTAGCTGCACTACTGACTATAGGACCTAATTCCTTGGAGCATTATGGTAACAGCCAAATCACTCAGAACTTGGGCAGCAACATTAGGATTTGGCCTGAATCGACGGGAGATGGTAAAACACAGAAGTAATTTAAAAATCTGATCCAGTTTAATGTGGAAAAACCTCTAGAAATAGCCCTACCTTTATGCTATAACTGCCTCCCCTAACATTTCATAGCCAGTAACAACTACCCAGTTATTCTGAGGCTGTCTGTGTGTCATTTAAACACTGCTGGTGGTTGTCACATTTCTAGGGACCTTACTTAGTGTGCTATCTAACTAACGCTTTGACTATAATGCTCTTTTAATCTTAATTCTGAATCTAGCTAAGTCGAGCCAACATTCTGAAGTAGTCACTATTTCCTAAAAAAGACCACAGAACCCTTTGGAAGCAGCCAGTAACATGGCTGACTTCAATTATGAGAAAAATATGGGTTTGAGGTGAAGGTGCTGACCTCGGCCAAAAATCTTTGTGCACTTCCTGTTATATATTAGTTCAAGGAAAATAAAAGACAACAATATGGTTTACTTTCAAAGTCATTAATATCTATGCTATTGAAGTAGTTGGTAATTTAGTGAACATGATGGATATAGTGAGAATTTGCTGACCAAGGGAGCTAGCTACCTTGGAACTAAAACAGACATGAGGCTGTATAAGAGGTACAATACTGGCTAAAGGTTTCTGAGGTTCTAAACACCCTGGGGTTATATGAACTGCAGGTTGATGCCAGCTATGAAGTCTGACTGCAAATACTCATATTCCATAAATTATATGTAGGGCCCTTTCTCTCTTATCAAAGTGGAAGGGGGCTGGGTTGGAACATCACTTGTACCTTAGAATCTCTGAGCCAGGAGCAACTTGTTCTCTTTGAGATTCAAATTTTTTACCTTTAAATCCCAAATACAGTACTATGAAGTTCAAAACACATTGTAAATTTTAATAGTTTATTTATTACTAATCAACTAAACCATATTTAAAAAGATTTCTTCCCTAATAAATGTTTGCTAAAATTCAGTGCAGGAATGTTAAAATAAATGTAACTATTTAATTAATGTAAATAATTTAATTAACTGTTTGATGAATTTGTTTGAATAAGTTGTTCAAACCCCAGAAAGCATGCAAATCTACTTTTGTAGGCTAAGATACAGTGCTTCCATCTTTCTAGAACAGCGGTTCTCAACCTTCCTAATGCCACGACCCCTTAATACAGTTCCTCATGTTGTGGTGACCCCCAACCATAAAATTATTTTCGTTGCTACTCTATAACTGTCATTTTGCTACTGTTATGAATCGTAATGTAAATATCTTTTTGTTTTGCAATGGTCTTAGGCGACCCCTGTGAAAGGGTCGTTCAACCCCCAAAGGGGTCGCGACCCACAGGTTGAGAACCGCTGCTCTAGACCATATACTCTAGGAGAACCTGAAGACTTGGAAGGTTTGACAAATTAAAATGCAAGCAGAACCAGAACACCTTGCACAGGTACACATTAGAAGGAACATGGCAGTTAAGGTTTTAAAAATCCATCTTTCCACTACTAGAGCAATGCAACAACAACAACAAGGTATGAATTTTAAAACTAAGAAACTGATACATACTCATCATGAACAATGGTGGGGCCATCCCTTGTTAAGGCCTCTTCCTTGATGACGTTAATAAGTTCAAAGGTACTGCTTATGGGGGCATCTGGGTTAGGCCATTTGGGACACTGGAAGTGCCGAACTTCTAGGACATAGTCATCCTACAACCAATACAACATGAGTTTATTTCCTTCTGTCTACAATCTAATGGCTAGAACTTGCTCCTGAGAAAGCATATATCACAGATAACTGAAGAATGCCAGATTAACCAATGTGGGCCTGGTAAGAAGAAAAATACCAGGGAGGTCTGTCTGCTATTAAAAAATGAGCAGGTCAGGTACTGAAATATCACAACAGGATAACAGAATCCTATTTTGTTCAGGTTAAAATTTCAAGTGGCAATTCTTCTTATCTTTAAAATCAAAGGAAAAAAAGGAAGGCGTTAGGAGTTCATCATTTAAATTACTAATGTAAGACAGCTTCTCTCTTACCTGCCCCCTAAGAAGGCAGTTATTACACATCAAAACGTGTGTAACAAAAAAAGTCTTATCATCATTGCCGTAACACATTGCAAAGTGTACATTTCTGACGGCAAAGAAAATATTGAGCTCTAGTATATTGTTTTTATAATTAGGTCAACAGAGCTATTTGTAAGTGTGCTCAGTCAAAAGAACTAGTTACACTTCATCTATCCAGCTGAGAAAGCAAATATTTGAAAGAAGGAAAAAAAAGGGGAAGTGTACATATTACAATTAAGCCATATACAAATGCCTGGCCTGCCGAGGGTGGTAAGTTACTTCAGAATTCCGTAGAAGGGTGACCGGGGCCAAGAGAGGCTGTTACTAAGGTCCTGAGGTTTAGGTTACCTGTGTAGCTTCAAGGATGAAGTCATGGATGATAATTTGTTCTTCATTCGACAGGCACAGTCTGTCTTTGCTGATAAGGGTGACGGTGAAGGCCTCGCAGTTCATGGATTCTTCTCGACTTGGCCAGTAGACAAACTCATCCTCTGCCTGTGGGAACAACAACAAAAGACGTCCTCTGCGGTGCTGTCAAACATCGGTTGGAGAATTTTCTTGCAAAATGATTCATTACGTTTGCCACACCTCTCACTTCATCTTTGAAATTTGGTTCATAGAATTATATCCCTGTCTAATCATTCTGAGGTCAGTGGTTATGGTATTCTATTTTAAAACGTATGTGATAGTAACTGTGTTCTAGCACTTCTCACTTGTGATTGTAACAACCAAAATGCATCTCTAAGGGATGCATTACTCCCAGTTGAGGAGTGCTTTGCAATATAATCGTCATAATGAAAAAGGAGAAGGGATTAGGTCAATTAATTGTAACCTATTATTCACAATTGCTTAAGCAACTAAGACATGCTAATTGTTATTTCCTATGGATTATGTTAATAACAGTTCTACAGGGGATTAGCATTTTGCAAAGGACTTTCATAAACATTATTTAATTTTCACAATATACTAGTGAGGTAAGGGATTTTTGTCATGTGTCTTTACAGATGACAAGATTCAGGGAGGTCCATAAGTTGTCTAAATCACACTACTAATAAATGGTAAGAGAGAGAACCTTTTTGGAAGTACGTTGTACATACATAATAAGCATGGTGGCTGTTAAGTACAAGGTGTTCTTTAAGAGAAAAATTAGTGTGTCCATGTTAGGTTTCAAAAGGGAGTAACATAGAAAGTCTTTCAGCCTTGAATCAGGGAAGCTTTCAAATGCTCATCTATTTTAAGATTAAAAGTAAATATTCAGGCTTGGCACTTATATTCTATCCCTGAAAATTAAAGAGGCCTAAAAAAAGTTAATTGTTGCATAGGATGGAGAAATACAATGATTTTGACAATAAGCTCCCCGTTCCCCTTTTCTAATCAGTTCAAATAGCAAACTACAGTCTGCATGTAATAGATTTCTACGGGCATTTTCCTGAAAATGCTAGATGCTACTAGTGAAGTCAGAAATAACTCTGAATAGTGTTCAAAACAAAGAAGGTTTTGTTTACTCTTACATTGTTGCATCAGAAATGAGCCAACAGTCCAATAAGACTTATCACCCTTTCAAGTTTCAATACAGGTTATTGCCAAGTACATTTTTATTTTTAAAGCTCAGCATAAGGGGAAACAGATTAGCAATTGGGTTTAGTCTATACAAAAGAAGTCTGTAACTGTCATGTGTTTTAATATATTTTGTCCAAGATGAAACGGAATTGGGGCCCTTTTAAGAGATACTAAAAACATAAGGTATGATGGGCAGGACCTCTAAATTTAACCAGTATATACAGATTAAGCATAGGATTTAGAATTGGATGCAATCCTGAATCAATGACTCTATCTGAGCCTTGCATTCCACACCTGAAAAGTGGGAATAAGAGAACTACATGCCTCAAAGAGCTTTTATGATGGTAACATGAATAGGAAATTATGTGGTTGGTCTAAACACTGCCAGAGGGATTTTAGTTATGGTAGAAGAAAAGCAGAGAAAAACTTTTGGATACAGGTAATAAACTAGGGGATAACTGATCATCTTGAAAGACTGAGAAAAATAAATGCTACGTCTTAATTCAGTAGGCACTGTGGTCTCACGGTTCCCTTGCTTACAGATCTATTTACGTAGGGAGATGCCTCGGCACCGGTAACGGTGCTTTCTAAGGTAGGAACCAGGACTCTGGGCTAGTCACAGAATTGTGGTCCTGTCAAGTTACAGTAGTAATTAGCAGTAAAGCAGACATAGGAACCCAGAGACATTATCTTAGGAAAATTGCAATTAATGTGACTTTGGGCCCTGGAGCTGAGAACGCAGCCCTGCATGACGCCAGCCTCGCCTTCTTAGGTCTCAGAGATGCTGGATGACCCATTCCAGGGCAGTTCCTGGACCCACACTGTCTGCAGAACATGTATCCGTTTATTCGGTCCGGTCTCCCCCCTAGCCTCACCATGCAAATGGGCTTGTGGGTAGGTGCTTTTGGTGACCGCCCTCTGTTAAGTGACAATAACAAAATACTGACTCATCTAACAAACGAACGTTTTTAACAACCCTAAATGCCTCCAATTCCACATGCCAAATAGAATAGACCCCTACTGCCAGCTAATTTGAAAATTTACACTCCAGTTTTTAGCTTCAGATTCTCAACTTTGTTGCCATTCTATCGTTCAGAAGCAGCCTGGGTACTCTGAAGCTGGAGTGAAATGCGACAAAGTGAAGAAGTTCCTAGTGACTGGCACGCAGTCAAATGCATGTCATCAAGACTAGGGGTTCAATCACAGGCTGTTTCTTGATTAAAAAAACCCACTGATCTGACACTCATGGAGGCAGATCCTCGTTGGTTTTTGTTTTTGTTTTTACTTCATGGGCTTATATGTCCTTACAGTAACTTTTGAACCCAACTAATTTGAAACTTAGAGATTTAAGTACAAACATTTAAGCTTATTTTTATAAATGTGCTGACCCTTCTCCTATATAGTTTAGAGATCTCAATAGGGAAGGACTCAAGTTCTTAAAAAACATCTTTAAGCAGGAACGAAACAGCCTTTACTTATCTCCTTCCTGTAACAGAGCTGACTTACCATTGGCTTGGAGGAAAAGTAATGATACGTTATTATTACTTTTGATACAATTTGGGGGTAGGAAACATTTCTATGATGTGGGTAGGACGTACACTAGAGCAAAAAATGATTAAAAGCATGAGCTCTGGAGACAGTGACTCAGGTTGAAATCCTGACTCCAATCCTGATTTGTGTGCCCTTGGGCAAGTTATTTCCCTCAGTTTTCTCAATTATTAAATGAGATGACAACAGTACCATGTTATACAATTGTAGAGGGGACTGAATGAGTTAGTTAATACACGGGGAGTAATAAGCACAGTTACATACTCCAATGTTAACTGCTATTCTCCAATGTTAGCTGCTATTATTTATTTTTCAAAAGTGACATAGCAACTAAGAGGTTGGGTTAAGGTCATACATTAATGAGGTTAGGAAAAGGGACTTTTCAAAACCGTTTACCACACTGCCACGTACAGTACACTTGAGGAGTGATATACCCAGCATTAGAGAATTAAGTAATGGACCCGATAGGGAAGGTAATTGTGAGACCGCAGAAGGAATCTGTACAGACTTAAAGATGAGACATCGAAATCCCCTCCCTAGCATATACAGACACCATAGCCCTGTAGCAAGGTATCAAAGTAATGTATGCTCATGGCCTCAAAGGCTCATTAATATACAGCAGCTGTGCTTTACTTACCAAGCTCTGGTTGTCTGGCAGCATGACAATGATCTGTGCATTATGATCCCAAATCATTCGCCAGAAATCTTTCGTAGTGTGTGGCAGGGGATGCTGGGTTATAATAAATTCATTGCTCCTATAATAGCCCTTCAGTAAGGGAGACAACAAATCAGTGATTATGAGTGCTGTATTCTAACTTTGCAGTCGTAAAATATATTCATGAATTAAGACAGCATTGTTTTGACGGTACGAAAATAATTGAAAAAGGCAGTCAGTGCATTTGGCTAATTTTTAGATGTACGTCTGCTAACAAGTGTAGACAATTTTGTCTCTACATGCAATTCACTTTCAGTTACCCCTGCTGTTTTTACTTAACAGTAATTTCAACATTTATTCAAAGTCTAGATGGGTGAAATTAACAATAAAATTAATTCCTTAACAAGCATTTTTCTACCCCCCACTGTTTTAGATGTCTTTTGTTAGCGATTTCAAGATACAGAAATCTCTATAATTTTCCTATTACACATTGAGAAATTACTTGAAAAATGAAGTCAGTCACATAAGTGGTATCTGCTCTTTAGCACCTTGCAGTTTAATTGACTTTATTTATAATTAACTGGTTGACTCTCACCATGATATACGAAGCATTAATGTAATCTGTTCCTTTCATTCCAGGCAACGGTGCAAGACCCACTCGAGCACGCTCAGCTATCATATGGAAAAAACAAAAAACACCACATTTGCCTTATTATACACACAGATCCAACGGCGCTTTCTGAGATACACTTGGTGAGTAATATACCCCCTTGGTTCTCCTTTCCTTTTAAGACTTCTCTATATTTTTAACCAAGCTAAAGCGTTTATTGGCTAAGGCAGAATATAAAATTAAATTTTGCTACACATTCCCAGAAGGGCATAGGCATTATAGGAATAAAATTTCAGTGTGGGAGAGGTTTTCAAAGCAGATCTCTAATACTCTGTGCAGAGATGACAGAGTTTCAGATACATTTTTTCCTGGGTTTGATATTCCTACAATTATGCCAATGTGTTTCCCTTTGCTCTTTTGCCATCCCTTTATCCATGTCTTGCTCCCCACAAAGGGCTTATCAGACAGTGACGTTTTCCAGGAGAGAGAATCTCTCCAGCGGTCGTGCCTGTATGGGTAGCACACACAGTATCCTCTGCTGGGTCCGAGTTATTTATACAAAGGTCGCCACCTATCAACAGTGCTCTGATCTCACCAGCCAGATACTTTAATGATGTACTTCTTGTACAGGTTTATCCGGGACTCTAAGTTTTGAAGGAGTGCGAATGCAACAGTGATAACGACTTTACTTTTTCTAGTTAAGATATGGTAGAAGTAACCTAATTCTTGAATTTTGAGGTAAACTGAAGCTAGATTTCATGTCACACAGATGCAGCGACTTGCTGGCACTGCCAGCCCGCCCTCCCAGTGTGATCAAACTGCCTCAGCTGACCTGCACATAACCTTTCCCCTTGGTAGTATCTAATCACGTTACACAATGTATAATATCCAATGACAAAAAATACCAGCACACTCAACCAAGTCAAACGGATTTTAAGATCTTACATGGCACGACTGAAGAGTTTCTGTTCTTTTCTTTGTTACACTCTTTCTGAGCACTAAAGCATTCCACATATTTTGCATTACATTGTGTGACCAGCTGAAAGAAAAGCAACATTTTAGTCTTCATTCAAAGGTATAGTTGTGGACATATTAACTAACATTACTATGATAATCATTTCACAATATATACATATATCAAGGCTTTACTTTGTATACCTTGAACTTATACAATGTTATATATCAATTCTACATCAATAAAGGTGGAAAAACAACAAAACAAACCAACAAAAGGTATAACTGATAGCATTTGATGATCTGGCAACAAATACCAGTAATCAGATTATTGAGGAACAAAACATTTTTAAATCCCAAAGAACGCTTTCTATGTTTCACTCATGGTGCTTCTCTCACTGATCTTGGTTGTCTGTATGCTTATCTTATTTCTGCTCTTAGGTGTTAGGTTCTTGATGGCAGGTACTATGTAAGTAATAGATATTTACTCAATTAATGTGGGTTTTTCTGTGGATGCCATTGTTTCTGTAAATTTTTTTCGTATAATTCCTCATAGACACATGAGCTCAGGAGGGTCTACCCTAGAAAATGTTGCTTCATGGTAATAAGAGCTAATCACATTTCTTCAAGATTAAGAATTGACTCAGTTCTCAGTAAATTTCTATTGAACTGACATTGTTCTAAGGCTGTTATAAAAAGTTAACTCCATAGTTTGGTTATTCTTTTGTTTATATAAATTGTTTGAACCACTTTGTATATATGTTGGTCCATCTTAACAGAGTTTATGGGAACGGTCTCCTCCAAATGCTTTAGTACTACTGTCAAAGGCCTGAACTATAGTTTTTAAGTTTCTGATTTTTGTCTCTTTCCACTTAAGTTCTGAAGTGGCTAGTGTCTATAAAAGAACGAATTACCTGATTCCCAATGGAATAAACTGATTTCTTTGAGGATTTTTTTAAAAAAAGTATGTGTAAACATATATTGCAGAAATGCTAAAGAAAGGCAGAATTTAAGAAATGTTGGTACCCTAGAATTCATTTTAAACATTTAAAATGAGACACTATGTCCATTTTAATTGCCTCAAATGGTTTTTAGAAAAGTAGTTGGGAGGTTATAAAAGGAGAGCTAGAAATTTGAAACTGTTATGACTGAACTCGCAATGAAATTAAATCTATTTTTCATTTCATATCACTTATTTGCTTGGCAGTCTCATTTGCTCAGCTAAGATTTAAGTGTAGGTTTCAAGTCTATGAGTAAATTTTACCATGAAAACTAAAACTGCACAGATTCATCCCATTCTTTCCTTCTTGACACAAAATGAGAAAGTACATATAGAACAATGTGCAAAAAACCACCGAATTTAAAAGACTGAAAGACTAATAGGAAAGCACTTAGTGACTGGAGAGAGACATTTAAAGTTATAATAAATCTTTTGAGATAACTCAGCTTTTCTGATTTTAATTTCTTTAAAAGTCCTTCTAGTCTCTCTGTTCACCTTTATTTCAAGTCAATTCCATATAAACCTTAACTGCCTTTAAACCTGTTCATGCCCCTATAAAGAAAAAGAACAACCATTTAGGAAAAGTTAACTTTCCTGTAGTAGTCCTAAGTAACTCTTTCCTAGTTTCTAAATTATCTGCTAGGATAGTCTTTCAAATAGCTTTAATTTTAAGACAATATGTCAACAATAACCGTTCTTAATAAGGGTTAAAGTAGATTAGTTCAGAAAAAATACAGGGGGTATTTTTTGGACTGAAACGAGTGATTCAAAGCATATGCCATTGTGGTCAGGGGCTGATGTTTATGCTCAGATAAAGTTGTAAAAAGTCGTAAACTGCTCAGAAGAAAATACAGCACCACATTATCTACTTGGATACCAACAGTGCATATATAGATGAAGCTTTATTTTCCTTTGCATTACATGTGAGTAGTACAATACACATATTAATCCATTTCGGTCTATAAATTCATGCAAAAAAGACATGACCCCCCTCCCCCAACTCAAGGCATTTCTTTACTTCCTTGCTATCTTACCCTAGAAATGTATGTGAAGCCCTACCTTGAATTGTTTTTCCAGTCGTGTCTTTCCTCCTACTCCTGGTATGAGGATGCTGTTAACATAACTATGCAGTTGATTTGAAGATACTTCAGTCTCTTTTCCAAGAATGGCTTCCAGCAAGGCATCATGGATGAAAATGTACTGCTCCTACAAAGGTCCAATGCATGGCGGTCACTGGGGAGAGCTGCTAAGGGGTAGTCACCTCCATCCCATTCACAGAGCCTACCTTAGATGAGCTCTTCCCCTAAGAGGCACCACCCAATGAATCCTTAGGCATTTACATGTGCTTTGCCCCAATACTTACTTGTTTACCCACCATAACTTGTGTGTTTAGTTCTGTATTCTATACCATGCCTAAAACAGTAGGTTCAATGCAGCACGCAATGGAGAAATGTGTGTTCAATGAAGGGCTTTAGAATCACTCTCACATGTATTTCTCAGGTCAAACGACATGTTTAACTCCTCATAGCATTGAACACAGCCCTAGATACAACCATAGCTGCTACATAAGTGCTTGTGTAGTTATTGAGAAATCCAAAGTTAAGATCCACACAGAAATGGAAAACGATGAGCCAAAGAAAAGTATCACAGCCTGGCTCTTTTCTAATACAAACCTGTAAATTCCTTCAAGCTCTAAGAGAATGAATCTGTCTCCTCAATCTCGTTCCATTTTCAGTTAAAGAATGTGCTAGAATGTCATGAGTGCACAGGCGCCACTCCTTACCTCAGTCTGGACGAGGTAGTTACGCTGTGTCCTGATATGCTTTAGGAATCCCAGGACATTAACTGTGCTTTTGTCTTTTATCTGTTGCAGCATGCTGTCTATTACAATGTAGGTGCCCGTCCTGCCCACACCAGCGCTGGAAGACATGAGGATACTCAACTAGTACCTTCTGCTTTATGATGTTGTGAACACGGATTGGGACAATTACATTCTAAATCTCTAAAGGGCGTAGAAATAACCCTGTTGTTTCGATAGGTTATTAGTGCATTTCCCATCTCGAGTCTTGATGGGGATCAAAGATTGCCTTTCCATATTATAGGAGCTGCAAAAAAATGTTACATGCTTGCTTTCTCAACCTCTCTTGCAGCTCAAGCAAAGGCTGCAACTTGGTGATGCAAAGGAACACTAGGTGTCTTTCTTGGCAGCAGCCATCTCTACCCGAGGACCACATCTGCTGAGGCAAATGTGTAGGGAGTTTTCACATGCTGTTTGGGCATGCGCCTGGTTCTCCACCTCTCCCCGTGACTCTGGAGGCCCATTATCCTTTTAGTAAACTCCCTTTCTGCCCAACTCTTCCGGCCTGCTCCGTATTAGAAAGTTCCTATTTAAAGGGGTGCTTTATTTTAGTAATCCAGGTATATAATAAGAATACCACATCTGGAAAATATGGCCTCTTATTTATGTTTCTAATTGTTATTAAATGAAAATACTCAAAAAGATCTAAGTTCTATAGTAAGGAGTAGCAAGCTTCTTTTGGCAGAACCCTCCAGGTCTTCACCTCACACAACTCCATTGATACCTAAGCTCTTTCATAGACACTTATCTCTATTTTAGTGTTCCTAAATGGGTTAGCAAAAATGTAGACTTCTCATGGGATTTGAAACACAAGAAGATTGTTCCGATTTCTGGAAAGGACCTTCCAGTAGTGTAAGAACACCCCAAAAGAAGTGCTTAGAAAAGGCTGTGTAGCTATGCAACATTAATCACAGAATAAATACTCATTTGAATATCAAAGTGGAAAAAAGAAAGCCAAGAATGCAATTACAAATGGAACACAATAAAAGCATTTTTAAACAACCAACTAAGGTTGTTTAAGGTAGTTAGAAAATTGGCTTTATAGAAGGCTTTCCCGGTGCTTTTTAAAAGGTATTTTATATAGCATGTATAAACTAAAAAACTGAAAACCCTTTCATACACATTATAATTATTATTTAGAGGAACCCTACAGAAAAGCCAAATACAAAAACTCAAAATCTCTAGTGTGGAAAGCTCTAAATTTGTGTTTAAGGTCAGATTTTTATAGATTAGGAGCAGCCTACAATTCCCCTACAAACAATGGGGATTTTTATTAATAATAAGATGATGTTATAAAAACTAGAGATTCATCTGCAAAACCTGGATTTTGTTTTACCCTCAGAAGCAGCAGTTGATGTCTTAATGTCATGGAACTATATTAATGGTCACTTTACATAACCTTAACAGGTCTTATTGGTTCCAGTTTTCAGTGGAAGACTCGGTCTCAAAATCACACAAAACAGTAGCAGGGCCACCGCAGTCCAAGTTCACAAGGCCCACACCTACTGCTCTGCCCACTTCCAGTGCAGAATCCAGGCAGAAGGGAAGACGCCAGCCCTACCTGCAGTGCACCAACACAGGGCCCATTTCTGGCGTGCGGGCTGCTGAGGACCTCCTCACAAAGGTCAGGACCGGAAGGGCGTACTCGGGGACTCCCATGTCGGGCCACTGTGTGTAGTGATACTGGATCACCACCCTTTCATTCTGACGACCCTTGGGGTTTCCCTTCTGACCCTATGAGAAAAGTGAAAAAAAGATGTCTTGAAGCCAAGTGTGGGCATTCTGGATAAAGATAATGTAAGCATGTTAGGAAATAGGACCGTTGATCTCATCCTCCCTAATTACCATTCCTGGGCTATGTAATTCCTCTTTGTGGCCATCTCATGCCATAAATGGAGATATTTCCTGGCGGGACGGGAAGTACCAGACATCTCTTAGAAGAGAAAAGGATTAAGACTGTACCAAGAATGAATGTTTAAGATCAGTGCTTTGGATTTGGAACCATCCAGAGCACTTTGGAATCTGCCTACAAGGCCTCCATTTCCTGACGTCTTGCCCCAGCTCCTGAAGGCCCTACTGCTTTGCTCTCATCTGACTGTGGGCCGTGCTTCCCCTGCTTTTCCCACTGTCTAGGCTGAGCCTCAGGGGCCCAACTGCTGGCTGCTGCTGTGCACTCTCCACGAAGTGTGGGGAAGACCCTAAGTGACTAATGATTCTCAATTTCTAGAGTCAAAGGCAAAAATACATTTATCTTTCACTTTCATAAATGAATTTTTCAGAGTAGTTTTCCTTTAAGTGGCTGAACCTTTTACATTTTAACTACCTTGGATGAAAATTTTCTTAATAGATCACTTGCTGTGATACATTTTTCCTTATTACCAATAACTCTAAAACTAAAATTTTTGATGACTCAGGGTCATCAATAAATCAACACTGAAGCTTGTAGAGTGTTTGGCCTTGTGCTCCAAAGGTCCTGGATGGCTTTCATTTCTTAATTCTTCTGTTAACTCTCATTTTCCTGTTTTTTATTTTCAGTTATGACTTTATCCTCTTGTCAGTATGCGAAACACCTACCGTTCCTATTTGACTTCCTCCTCTACTTACACTGTTTCTAAAATGTGAGTCCATGGGGCATGTTTAAGTATGTGAAGGGCTTCCCTGAGTAATGGCTTTGTAAGTATAAACTGGTTATTGCTTAGCTTGAGCCAATTAATAGTTCTACAACAGAGAACACAGTGCTACAGGGCTACCGATTCTCATACTTCTGCCGTTCTCAGAAAAAAACTATACATAGAAAGGACTGTTAACCTTGGACTAGAGATGGGCTTCAGAGTCACTGAAATTGTGCATCATAATTCGAATAAATGTGAATTCTTCTGGGGCAAGAGGGGTACAGTTTTATCACATTCTCAAAGATGTCCTAGACTCAGAAAAAAATTAAGACCCATTGCTACAAACAGTTGCCATCATTCCTAAGTCTCTGTAGAGTAACTACTTTACATTTTCTTAATGACCATCTAGAGTTTGCAGTACTGCCATAATGATATGTAAGTCTTGATGGGACAATGGAGATTGAACAAGAGAAATTGATGTAACTCAAAAGCAACATTTCCACAAGGTGTGATTCTCAGGATGTTAATAGTTCTATAGAAAGGGGTTTTATTGTTAAGTCACATTAGGAAACATCAGGCAAAACAAAGTTAAATAGATGTCTTAACTCTAACACTCGGGTCACCTGTGTTCATTGTACACTTCTCAGGGAGGGGCTATGTATTGTATTATGTAGCATTCATTTTCTATCCCCTATTAAGTAGCAGAATCTGATTTTGCAAGCGTCTTCCATTCCTTGGAACACTTTGGGAAACAATGCTTTAAAGCTCTCAGAAAATTGGAATTAAAAAGCTAAATCAACAGATGCTGCCATATTTCCATATTTGCTGGTTATCAAAACCTAAGAGGACCTTTTTTTAAATATGAAGCCTTCTCTTCAGAAAGAGATTAAAGAATTCAATCAGGCCAGTTAAATTCTATTATGTGCTTTGCCAATATCTTTCACACAATACATTGATGTCAATCAAAAGAGTTGTGAAAATGCTTTAAGATACTTTTTTAAAACCAAGTTGGTTCTGAGAATTGGCCTTGGTTGTATGGTAATTTTCATACAAGTTTTAAAAAGAGAGGCCTTGGCAGCCCACCCAATGCCTTTCATACCTTTTTCACTTTTGTATTTCTGACTGAAAAACGACGAACAGTATAGCAAGCGTGTACTTTTGTGCTCTTCAGGGTGACGATAATGTTTCCATACTCCTCACTATTCTCTGTGGGCCAATACTGATCACATTTTCGCTGCAAAAAGGAAAAAGTTGTAAATTGCAACTACCATAATTGTACTGCTGATAATGTAATTTTAAATGAACGAGTTAAACCACAGGTAATATCACCATATAGTTGACAAAAAAGGGAACACAGAGGCAGGCATGACCTCTGAAGAGGTTGATCTTGGGACAAGTTTGGCCAAGATCATTTGAGAAACAGGCCTAGTATTCATGATCATCTTTCAACACATGATACACTTTAATGAGGGCCTAAGAAAGAAACCTGTATGCTTGACCTATCAGAAATGTGGGCAGGACATGTTATAAAGGGAGTTGAAGTGAGGCTGGGCTGCATTCGGTTACCAGTAACTGAGAATATTCGTGTTACAGCTTGGGTCACTGAGGCAAAGAGGGACCCAGAGGCAAAGTGAAGCCCGGGTGATTCTGAGTACTACACCGGGAA